GATCTTCCTATTAAAATTAAGAGCTCATATTTGGTGAGAATTTTTTCAAGGTGTCTAGCAACCCATTTTTCCGTGGCGCTTGTAAAAAAAAAATTAATTGATTTTTTTGACCCACCCTAATATATATATATATATATATATAGTTTCTTGTAACCAAAAAGTTAAAGATGTAAAGATGGTGACATTCAAATCAAAATGAAAGCAATCAAATTATTTTCAATGTAAAATTAAACATTTATAACAGAACTACTTATAATAATCTTACATTAGAACGAATAAAATAATAATTTAACAAATTGAATTTTCCGTATATAAATGAAACAACACGAAATAAATGCATAATCGCTATTTACTTCCGGTTTTTCATTTGCCAGGCGTACTTGAGACCACTTGCCCGGAGCAATCGACGTGTATCTTGCAAACGTGGCGAACGTGGGCGTGAATTTTTTTCATAAAGCAAGTTTCATGGATGCTTGAACGTGTATTGGGATCAATGACACGCCCGCAGATATCCTCGTGGTATTCTCTACGACCTACGTAGAGGAGGCATCATGTAGAATTCCAACCACCTTCCTCGAGTTCGCAGCAGGACCTACTGGTTTCTATTTATATACCGTGCAAGACCTTGCAACAGCGTTCGTGCTTACAAATCTTCTCTCCTTCTTCTTCTTCTTCCTCCTCTCTTTACTCACCTCTTTTACGCTCTCTTTCTCTTATTCTCTCTCTTTATTTCTTTCTTTCTTGCTTTTTCTCTGCTTTTATACACACACACACACACACACACACAAAACACGCGCGCGCATCAAATGCATGCGTATTTCGCAAAGTTGAGAGTAGGAAGGTCAGCAACGTTTGCAAGATTTTAGATGCACCAAACGCACAAATAGCAACGTTCTCACTTTTTCTATCTCTTATAAAAAATCAATATTATGATTTATTTTTTTATCTAGGATCATAAAAATGATAACGTCTCTTTTGGTTTATAATTTTTTTTTTTTACAATTATATTATCGATATCAAATAGAAATATACGATACGATAAATTATGACTAATTTTTAATTAAATAGTAAAGGTAATAAATAATTTATTTTTTTCTTTGCAAATGAATTATTTGATTTATACTCCTAAAATATGTACAGTTATTTTTTATAAGTAACAAAAATGCTGCCATTTCTGATGCGCTTTTTTCATAAAATTTAAAACTCACGATATCTTTCTGCGCATGTTAACTAATTTTTTATATAATTATTATTAATAATAAACACTGTAAGCGTTGTCCTCGTTTTATTAATATATGATAAAATTATAATAAATGTTTAAATTTGACGAGAAAGTAAGAACTTGATAAATGTATCGTCGAGCCATCTGTGAGAATAATTCTTTATTAACAATCAATACGAAGCACAACAAAACAGATTATACGTCGAAGTTTTAGCCTGCTACTGATATTTCGTAAAATAATTTGTTTATTTATAACGTATTAGCAACAAAATGGCTGACGAAGTATCACAAATTTTTAATGCATTTCAAGATTATTTAAATAACGAACAAGAAATACGCGAGGTTTGTATTAATTACATCTTTATCCAAATTTTTAAGGTTACGTGCTAAATACAATATTTTGTCTTCGTTTGTAAACGTTTTTATTTTTGTAATAAACATTAAATTATTTATTAACATTAAGAGGGAACAGTACGTTTTTATAATAGTTTTAATAAATTATCTCTTTATTTTATTTTAAACCATTTACTAATAATATATATCATAAATCGTTTCATATTGATATACATTAGGCGTCATTGGCCTCTTTTATTTGATTGCATTGTAATGAACAACTGTCAATGTATGAAATTACTTTATCTTTGTTAATGAAAGTAAAAATCTGTTCTAGAACCACATTAATTCAATAATAACGTTTATTTGGTTTATATAGATTTATTATAATTAAATTAATAATTGTTTCATGAAAGGAAATTCGTCTTATTGTGAGGGAAATTGAGAAGAGTGCCAGGGATATTCTGATGATACTACAAAATATTCATAATGAAAATTCTGTGGAAGAGAACATAAGTATGTGTTTTTTTGTACAATCTACTTAATGTCAAACAACAAATAAATCACACATTCAGAGTTGATACATTTCAATTGACTTCGTCAATCATAATTGTTAGTAATTGAATATTTATATTATTAAACATTGACTCTAATTTAGAATTAAACTATTTACTGTTTTGTTACTTCAGTTGTCTCACAGTATTGTGCAAAAGCCAGAGAATTATTTGAAGATGTACGCAAGCAATACGCTGAACTTGCTAAAATTGTTCCAAAGGATCAGTATTATCGATTTAATGATCAATGGCGTTTTGTCACTCAACGATTATGTTTTTTAGCTTCATTAACTGTATATTTGGAAGTCAAAATTTTGGCAACTAAAGATACTGTTGCTGAAATATTGGGAAGTATGTATCGCAAATTTAAATTATGCTTTAAAATTCTTATTCTTATAGGGATTTAATTTTTATTATATTTTTAGTTAAAAATAATCGAGAAGACGGTTTTCATTTAGATCTAGAAGATTTTCTGATGGGTTTACTTCAATTATCAGCGGAATTGGTATATTTGTAATTATATACCTATTTCTTGTTTTGTTTGTAAATTCAATTCTTTTATTCTATTTTTGTAGAGTCGCTTTGCAGTAAACAGTGTCACAAATGGTGATTATAATCGACCTATAGAAATAGCCAAATTTGTGAATGAACTAAACGCAGGTTTTAGACTTCTAAATTTAAAAAATGATGCTCTAAGAAAACGGTTTGATGCCTTGAAGTATAACGTAAAGAAAATTGAAGAAGTAGTATACGATCTTAGTATTCGTGGTTTAAAACCTATTACATCGCCAAGTCCTCAAGAAATTGAGTAAGTGGTATGCTAAATTTGAATTATTTTACACTAAGTTCTTTCGATATATATATGAAAAAATAAAAAAGAAACAGAGTAAGCAAAACTATGTAATTTTTTATAAATAACTGAGTATATATAATGATGCCGCAAATTATTGTGTACAGTAATATGGACAATTAACGATTGTTTATATACCGCATTTGGTTCATTTTTTTATATCCTATAATATTTACTTTACAAAAGTTATGAAAAGGAAGATTTTTTTTCTTCTCCATATTTATTTATTTATTTGTATAGAATAATTTTTGAATGCATTTGTTATATCATTATTTGTTGCAACACATTTAGTATACAGACAGCCATTAAATAAATGCAGGGACTATGCAAAGATATTTTGTAAATTATTTTTGCACAGAATAACTACATTATTTTTCTATAATGTAATATATTCATACATTAAAATATAGAATAACATTCAATTTTATTTTCTTTACATAGTCTTATATAAAAGTAAGTATATATATATATAGTATTGTATATAATTACTTATTTCAAATTCTTATAGAAAATATCAAAATTATTTGTTTAAAATATACCACAGGAAACATTAACAAGCATGATCAATGATATAAGAAATATTTTGATCATTTTTATATTTACTTATTTTGCCAATGATAATTATTTTTATCAACACACACAATAGGAGTCTATTTTATTAGAAATGTGTATGACCCGTAATAATAATTAATACGTTTCCGCAAATGATGGCTATAGCCGCCCGATCTTTGTGTTTCTGAGCACGATCGTTAAATTAAAATTGTGCGTCAACGTGTTTTAATAACCTTTTAATAACCCGTTTAATTAATAATTAACTACCCGTATATAATAATTAATAACCCGTTTGATAATTAAAACTATTCGGTATAGGTTCACCATTTTTGTATTTTGTATAGTTTTCTGCAAACAATTTAGCAACATCTTGTGGACGTGTCACACCGGAAATATGTGGTGAAATAGTTACCTATAAAAATCAAATAATAGTATTTATGAAATCACGAATGTCTCATAGAATAAAAAGCATACTTATTTATAGAAATAATTCTAACATTTGATAAATGCCATAATTTACTGCTTTTTGGTAATGGTTCTTCTTGGAAGACATCTAAAATTGCAGCATGTATCCATTTGCGCTCCAAAGCATTTATAAGATCTGCTTCATGAATAATCGTTCCACGACCAATATTAATAAATACAGTCTTGTGATCCTTACAATGTTTCAGAATATTCCCATTTAAAAGTCCAATTGTATTTTTAGTAGTTGGTAATACGTTTATAATGTAATCACAGTTTTTTAATATATCAGTTAATAGATCTGTTGTTCTATGTTCGTCTATGTAATTTAAATGTTCGTTTAAAGGAGTGCGTGTCATTCCCCAAACCGTGGCCCCAAATATTTTTAAATTGTGCGCAACTGTTGAAATTGTAAATTACTATTTAGTATAAAATCATCTTTATTGTTACAATATCAACTAAAGTATACAATATATGTTCTTACTAAATTTTCCGATATTTCCCAATCCTAAAATGCCTATATTTAAATCACAAATTAACCTATGATCATGTATTTTGCCACACGTTATCCAGTCTGCCTTTTTTTGATTTTCATATTGCTGTTTCTGATCTCGTTCAAAGTTCACAATCTGCGTTATTACATATTCTGACATAGCTAAACCAAAACTTTGATCTGTAAAGCGCGAAAGAATAAAATTCAATGGTTTCTCTTGAATAAATGGAATTAATTTATCCAATCCTGCCCACGTCGATTGTACCCATTGAAGTTTTGGTAATTTTCCCAAAAATGGTATTAATAAATCGCAATCACTCACTAGTATTTCTGCCTCGTTGAGTTTCGAAGATGCATTGTCTTTTTCTAAATGTACATAATTTATTTTTATCAAAATATATTATAACGAGATGAATGCTTTTATTAAATTATTTTATTGTTTATCAAATATAAAGAAAGGAAAAAGAATGTGAATGTAAAGTTATAAGAAAATTAAAAATAAAAAACGCGGCAATATTTGAATTGAATACAAATGGATTCCCGCGCTATGAGTAAATTAGGAATGAGGGAATATGCATTTCATGTTGTGACGATTGGTGGATTACTGTGTTTTGTAGATCTTGACACGTGCTCGGAAGAGCTGTCGTCGTACGCATAACATAGCAAGGTTCAAAGGTACGTTTATCATAGCAATCATGATCTATCTTTTGAATACCTGACAAAACATCGTAGATAGTTAGATTTGGAAGACGAGTACGAAGATGATATGATAATTTTGGAATAGTGGATAAAACTGCTATAACCTGCGCCATCTCATGTACACAAATGCCTTTTCCACCTTCCTGAATAAACTACGCAAGTCAAACAGGATATTTGATAAATAATCTAAAACTTTAATCAATACTTTCCGTTTATACCAAAGTATACAATAACAATTGTCATAGAATAAAACACTTTTCTTCTTTTTTTATAATCTATCAGAAAATATTTGTAAATGTTCAAGATATTCACGTACTTATGAACACATGCGCACAACTTAAGAAGAACAAATTTGAATTTATTCATAGAACCTTATAAAATACATTGCTTTTATTTGTAATATCTTCGTACGATTGACTTTAGCAATCATTTTTCAAAAGTATAAATTTAAAATTTATTTAGATTAAATATAGAGTTTAGAAACAAGTTAAAAAAAAAATATTAAAATTCATTTTTCTATTACGGAGTAATGAAAATATAATGAAAATTAATTTTGTCATATTTATCTTCGTTAAATATTTAAAATACTTGACTTAAAAAGAAACTGTATTTAGTTGTAAAACGACGAGAATCGATACATAGATCGTCTTAGTTCCCATTTCTAATGAAAAATAAGAAGAAGAAAGAAAAAAAGAATTTAACGTAAGAATATTATCATTACAGAGTGGGAAGGTGGAATCACACGAAGAAGAAAGTTATTGAATTGTTCATAAAGTAAGAAGGATCTACAGTGGTACGAGCGTAGTAAAAATTCAAAGAAAAAATCATGAACACGACGCTGTATATACATTCGCGATTGATGTGAATGAAAATTCGGCTTGTTGTAGAGCGTACTTCCAATAGACTCGTGTATTCTCGACAGGTCGATTCCCGCGCGACTCGTGTCGAATCCCGGAACTGTTTGGGCTGAACGTGTTAAATGGCTGTGCGTCGGCCATGATGGCTTTGAGCAGGGACCGTGTCACGCAAACATGTTTTCAAAGTGATATATTTCGTTTGGTGACTGAGTGACCGTGTTCCAGCGCGATGGCCGGAGAACGATGAGGCCCTGAGCGCTCTCTGTGCCGGGTAATACGGCCTCTGGGCCCCTAAACAGGCCCAATTAAATTCACGTTCATTAAGCCCGAGGCCCGAACCGACCCGACTGGCCTCACAGTACGAGCCAACCAATTTGGTTGTCAACACGCGAGTCACTCGCCTCAAGATGAGCAAGCTGTCGTTCAGGGCTCGCGCCCTGGACGTCTCTAAGCCCATGCCGATCTATATGGCTGAAGAATTGCCAGATTTGCCTGATTATTCGGCCATTAATCGCGCAGTGCCCCAAATGCCTAGCGGCATGGAAAAGGAGGAGGAATGCGTAAGTTGACTATCCAGCCCTCGTTCCAGTATGTTTTCCACGACGGCCATCTTGCATTTGATTGCGTTTCCACAAACAACCGCAAGATAGCACTACATATTGTTCTTCTATTCTTTCATTAAAAATTTTTACTTTTTTCCTTTTATTCGTTATTGTTTACTTATTTTTTAAAGATTTTTATATTATAAGAACATCTACTTTTCTACCTTTCCATGATTTAACAGTTGTCACGCAGTACTTTTTATGAAATTACATTATCAGTACAGATGAAACTGGTGCAGATACTTGTTTGCACCCAATTTTTAATATTTCTTTAACTTATTATTTTCGAACAATTTATTTAGAAATTCTTCATCTTTCTTTATCTATTTTATTATCTTACATATTATTTAAATGTAGAAATAGTTTATACTTTTATGCATTTATAAGAGGTCAGCTCGATATGATCAACAAAATGCTTACTTTTATTGTCGTCTCTGTAACTTATATGTTGTATTTTATTTATCAAATAGCTTAACAAGATGTCAATATCATTAAAAAAAAAAATGAATTCTATTTTAATGTTTAATAATATAAACTAATCAATTTGACGCATTGAATTTCTTAATATTGATAAAAGTATTATTATAAAGTAAGAAGTTCTGCTGCTTAAAGTTTCAACTTTAATGTTAACCGATATTGATTTTTAGCAGAGTCTTTTAGCATTATTTATCAAATTACAATTAGATAAATTAAGTGGAAAAAATTTTCTGATTTTAACACAGAATGCACTTCGTATACAAGTTTAAGTTACTTAAATTTTAATCGATTACATTTGTATTATTGTGCGATATAGCTTTTGATTACGTGCAATAATATTTTCAGAGAATTCACTTAGAATAAATATCACAAAATATGCGTATTCATATATTTTATAACATTTATCATAGTAAGAATAAGATGATAAATTCATGTAAATTAAATTTTTTTATTTGATGTTTTGTTTTCTTTCTTTTTTTTTGAGAAAATTTAATATTTAAATATATTATTATTTTGCTTACATTAGAGAAATTTATTTATTTCTTACAAAAAATGTGAATTATAGTGAACATATGAAAAACATCGTATACAAATAATATATATGTAATTGTAATAATATCTATATACAAATGCATTTGGATTATTTATATTTATTTAAAGGAACATCATCTTCAAAGGGCAATATGTACGGGTTTAATCATTCCTACCCCTGAAGTAACTGACTTGGCAGATGTTGAAGCTTATGACAAAATATATCCTGCTGATTACAAGTTGCCTCGTCAACTTATTCATATGCAACGTATGTATGAATGTATTTTTATATATACATCGTATATATTAAATATATTTATATTTATAAGTATGTATTTATATGTATGCATTTATAAATAAAATATTTTGATTTGTATAATTTTTCGTTGTAGTTATAAAGCAAAATGTAGTTATAAAGCAATAACATTTGTTAAAAATGATGTTATTTTTTGTTGATAGCCTTTGCAATGGAGCAAGATATACCAGACTACGATATGGATTCAGAAGATGAAAAATGGGTTGCTGTTCAAAGTCGTAAAATGGATCTAACTCCGCTTCAATTCGAAGAGATGATGGATCGATTAGAAAAGAGTTCAGGCCAAAATGTAGTTACCCTTAACGAAGCTAAAGCGCTCTTAAAAGAGGATGATGATCTTATTATTGCAGTGTTTGATTATTGGTTAAACAAACGACTTAATACAGTAAGTTTATATAATGTTTTGATGATAGCAAAAATATGATTATATTTCACAGCTTATAGAATATAAGCATATAACATATTATTAGAAATAATAATACTATCAATGAACTGAATGCTATGCTAGTCCTTATGTACTGGTCTTAGACTTTTGTGCAGGCCACGTCGGTTGTTAATGGCCAACATTCTTATGTTCTTTTCATGGCTAATAGATATTTTGTTAAGTAATAAACATTTAATAAAATATTATTTAATTTACAGCAACATCCTTTATTATTAACTGTCAAAACGGAGCATCGATTAGGTTCAGCTGCCAATAATCCTTACTTAGCATTTAGACGCAGAACAGAAAAAATGCAAACACGTAAGATTCGTAAAAATGATGAAACAAGTTATGAAAAAATGCTCAAGTTGCGAAGAGATCTTAGTAGAGCTGTCACGCTACTCGAATTGGTTAAACGTCGAGAAAAAACGAAACGAGAACATTTGCACCTTACAATAGAAGTTTACGAAAAGAGGTTTGTTTTTTGTATCCTCATATGTTGATTCATTTTTTTTATATCTAACGTTTAAACTAATAAATTTTTTAAATATACGTAGGTATCAAGCGCAAGATTTCAATGGTCAGATTTTAGCAGAAGTATCTGCATTAAAAACTCCAAGGCCAGCATTCACTCCGCTTTTTACCAATCAATTTGGAGTTCATCAAAATTGGGCAAATAAAGTTAGTAATAAAGTAAGTAGTTGTATAATAGAAGATACATATTTTTTTCTTTAAAATTAATCATTATGAATAATAATATTTTTTATTTATTGTTTCATTAGGATGAAGTTGTTACTAGAAAAGAAAAGAGGCAATATAAGAAGCGGAAACATAAAACAGACAGTAGAGGAGGTACCCTCGATGAAACTGGTATACGTGGTGGAGCAGGTAGTGGAGGAGGTCGAGGAAATCGAGCAGGAGTATTAGGAAGTGGACTGGACCCTTTATTAAGTTCAGACGAAGACAGTCCTCTTCCATCACATTCTCATTCTCAACCTTCTCTTCCCTCGGATAGAGATGACGAAGATACTGTTGATGAGGGCAAATACGTCTTTCGACGAAATAGAAATAGCACTTATCTGCCTGTTAGTACAATTAATTATTTTGAAGACTATAATCTATACGAAAATATTCGAAAACTTGTATTATGCATTTTACATTACGTTACGTATTATTTATAATTATTAATTTTGTGAATTTATCTAACAGCCAATTTTTCCTTGCAAATACGTCTCAATGTTTTTGCAAAATACGAAACAGTTTTAATGCTCATTTTTTCAGAATTGTAAATATAGAGTTTTTTTTATAGCCTGTATTAGGAGGTGGATTTGGAAATTGGCCTTGGTGTGATAAACGTGAAGGAGGTCTGGCTGATAAAAAGTATAGGTTCGCTCTCACCAGCATTAGTAAACCAGTACCTAAGTGTATTGGTCTTGCTAGAAGAAGACTTGGTCGAGGTGGCAGGTGCTGTTATAATGATTCACTTAAAGAGATAAATTTTTTATTTCTTTTCTGATATTCATTTGTACAATACTTTTTAGAGTTATACTGGATCGCTGTACTTCGAATTTGGATGATATGTGGTCTTCGTTAGATTTTACGATACACGAACCAAAACGTGAGGCTACAGACTCAAATACAACTGCCACGAATAGTACGCCTATTAAGAAAGAAAGGTACGAGTCAATTATCAATTAGTGTCATAACATATACATATTTATTTAATACATTATTTTATTTATTGATATGATATATCAATACCACTATATTATTATCAAATGTTATTGAATATTATCAAATATTTATTAACAATCAGGCTACACTTTCGACCAAAGACTCCGCCTGAGTCGGTGCACAGTCCAAGCGAGGAAAGCAGTGATACAGACTCAGATGTAGAACCAGTGTTATCTCCATCGAAACCACTTCCATATCCATTCCCACCTGAAGCAACGTCGATATGCGTGGAAGTGGAACCTGAACGTGTGGGTGACGAACCACCATTTACTTCAGAATTTAACATTGCAGATTATTTCTCAGTGGATGCTCTATCAGACTTTGATCTTGCGGTAGCAAGTGTAAACGGTAGTGCGTGCGTTAGTGGGTTGTCGGACAATAGCTCCAGCGATTTGCGGACAGACGAGCTGGGCAGCTCACATTTTCTAGTGACACCATTATGCAGTAATCTATTTGCGCAACCTGTGACACAACCGAGCCGGCCTCAGTGCAGTAGTGGTGGTTCTAGTGTTGTAAATACTTCAAGTTCTTCAGCCCCGTCGTCTTCTTCGTGTGTGACCAATCAAGCAATGACACTGAGTACCGTATCAACGCAATGTACAAGTGTTGCGATAGAGACACAGTCGAATAATCAGTCCAGGCAACACAGACAATTACCCTATAACAGTAACGCTGCTTCTTTATTATCTAAATCTCTGACTAGTCCAACAAATAATAGAAATAGCGGTAATTGTGGAAATGGTGGCAGTGCAGGAGTTAGAGTGTTTAGTGCAACCAACACACCTAGTGGTACCATTACAAACTTTGGTAATGGCCATCAAAATGGACCTTTATCGCATATAAGCAACTCAAATAACCTGCCAAACAGTACTCATGTTGTAAACAATCAGCCGACAATAGTTCTACCACAGAAACATCCGCCGTCCAATCTGTTGCCTGGCCTTATTACGCAAAGTAAATTAGCAAGTATTGCAAGACAGCAACAGCAACAAACGCAAAATCAGGCACAACAAATCCCAACGTCCGGGGAAATTACGCTTAATAGTAATAGGTAAGTCTTTATCGATCATTTTATTTCTACTTCTAATATAGTTCTTATCAATTATCATTTTTAACTATCATCAAATCGAAATATATATAAATTTATTTATTTATTTACATACGATGATAATTAATTGTTTTGAAGACAAATTAAAGCACATAAAGTTTTCAGTACACATATACATATATATACAAGATTATTCCTACTATGTTTTATAGTGAAAGTTTGAATCTGGAGGTGGATGGAGTGGAAAATTCACCCTGTGAGACCAAATCACAACAGCAACAACTTGTCCGGGCAAACAAAACGAATTCATTGGCAATGGAAGTGACATGATGCCTACTGTTGGCACCCCTGTTGCTACCAACACGTTATCGGGGGCTTTGCTAACTTTATCTTGCCCATGTCTGGCTGACAATGGGAAATGAATATTAATGTCTTGTTTAACGCAAACAGTGGTACGGCTGAGTACAATTGCAAAATTATTTTGATCAATTTTCTCCTGTGGTGAAAGTATGATTATCGAAATAGGATAAATGTTATGAAAAATATTGCCTTTAGCTCTGGCCTGAAAAAAGATAAAAAAAAAATATTTTAATTAATTTATTTTTTTCTTTTTTTCTTACTATATGAACAAACGGTCAGTGCTATGCATGTTAGTCCGTATTATGTAAATTATGGTTTTATAATCATATCATAATACACATTTTCTCTCTCTTTTTTTGAACAATTAAATTATATTAGACAAATTTCATTTCCTAAAATAATACAAATTTCTGTGGTGATTTCCTATGCTTTTAATGCAAAGAAAAACATTCAATAAATTACGATACACATTTTCCTTTTTCTTTTTACATAAATATGTATTTATTGATTGTGCAAGAAGTAGTGCATTTTTCTTTAAATAATTTTAAATAACAAATTATGTTATATTTACAATTTATCGAACAAATGCAGAATAAGAGTGAATTTAATCTAATTCGTTCAAGTTAATTAGTGCTATTAAATTGAAACACTATGAGTATAATAAATAATAAACAATTTATTTACTTATACATATGTTTTTAAAGGATTATAATATTGTTGATATTTTTGTGCGAGTTCAATACTCTAAGATTGTAAGCTATGCAATCAAAAATCGTCATATATTGGAATTCATAGAAACTAATATAATTTTGCAATCAATTGATAAAACCATTTGTGTATTAAAAAAAAAGTGCTAAAAGTGTATCTTATAATCACTGCTTATGTCGCAAGCTTTCTCAAACACAGCATTCATTGAAAAAAGATACGAAGGACAATATAATATACCACAGAAATAATAACGATCAGTAGAGTTATTAATATGTTTCATAAATAATTTGCTTACATGGCAATAAATTCTTAGTATCAAATCTTGTGGAAATCTATTGGTAAATATACTTTGCTTAGATTGTACAATATATATAATCTCTTCAGACTTCAAGTTCGTCATTCATAAAAAAAAAACAATTTTGTAATTACTTGTACTATTATAAATCCAAAACTAATCATTTTATTCTACTTACCGCAGCTTTAAAAAAAAAAAAGAAAGAAACATTTAGAAACAAAGAAAGGAATAATTTATTTTTTATTACATTGTATAATTACTTCATTGCTGTACATAGAGTTGTTTTGAGTACCGCGTTTTAAAGAAGGTGTTTCTTCATATATATCATAATATATTAAAACGCTTGAAGGCTGTGAAATATTAAAGCTATTACTGTCAAGTCACTTAAAAGAACATTAAAATCTTTCTACGCAAGATGCATTATCATGAATATATTATATATGAAATGTTTTGTATTACTAGATGACAACGGATTATATTGAAAAATAAGTAGATTCTAATTTTATTCAAATGTTGCGTTTGAGAAGCTTGTATTACACACAACTGTGAAAGAATGCTATCTTTAGAATACCTAATACAAAATAAGCCTTTCCTGTTAGTAATTGCAAACATTTATATTGACCTATAATTGCAAAATTTAACAACTAAACACACTAAAGAAAGGGTCATTTATGGGTATTCACCTGTTAGCAGCAAAACGTGAGAAATTACAAGAGAAAAATTAATTTACAAAAGGTAGAAGTTTTTCTTTCAATCATTTACATGTATATCCTTTATATGTGATGATTGTAAATTCTTGCTAAGGAAAATTTCTTATCTATGACAAAAAATCAATGCATAGATAAAAAGTCTTGAATTTCCATGTATCACAAAACCCATATTTGTGATGCTCTCTTCCTCTTAATATATTTTATATGACTGTTTCCCTTTCTGTACAATTTTATTGATGTATATCAAGATAAAACGTTAAGGGCAAATATTTTTTTATAAAGGACAAGTATAAAATTAAACGTGTCTTATTTTGGATGTAATAATTTTAAAAAGAAAAAAAAAAACATTGATCGTGACAGTGGCAGAGAATCATTTAATCTCTAGGTCCTCGTCCATTTCTCTAATTTAAAATATAAATTTAATTTAGTTTTGCATGTAATTATTTTTTCAAAATTAATTTTTTCTATTTTCGTAGCTTTACTTTTTCATCATCTATTCAAAAAAGAAACGATATAATAAAATTTAAAGTAAACTATTATATTTCTCAACTCGTAATTGTAACAATATTTGCTATGTAATCTTGTGCAAAATCAAATAGCACTGTATTTTATGATACTGTGAAAAAATATTGTGATCAATTGGAAGCAATTTATGCAAAACATTATAGGCCATTGCTCAACTAATAATTTATTATCATTATTCAAAATATAGGAGTATGTATCAGATAATCTCATCAACTTTTCACATATTTAAATATTGATTTTTGTTCTCAATGGTCAATAAAAATGCTTAGTGCCAGCCGTAACGCAAGACAGAAAAAGTATGATTATGGTGCAAATATTTCGAAATGTAGGGAGACTTATTAAAAATCATAATAAGAAACAAAAACAAAAAAAGATATATTGTACATATAAAAATAATTACGCTTATTGTATCTCTTACTTTTAGGTAATTAACTAAATAATTGTAATTAATGTTGTTGTGGTAGGCACACAGCGGATGTGTATGAAAAATTTATGAATTTAAAACAATTTTAGAGAAGGAGTAATAAAGAAATTTTATCCTGGATAGAACTTATTATTTTGTAAAAGAACATATTGCCTATTATATATATTATCTAACATTTTCTAAAATTTAATTTCTGCTGCATATTTGTACATACATTTTTAGAAACATGATTATTTCTCTCGTTTTTCTCAGATTTATCATTAAGCATGAAGGTTCTATTCTTTTGTATATCCTCGTCTTTTACACGGTTTATTATTAAGTAATACCGCTAATAACTTATTGTCAATTTTTTGCATTTTCTTCTATGTTTCAATTTATCATTATACGTTAGGAATCTTCCGCTAAATGAATTTATGAGAAGAACAAGCGATGTTTGGAGAACTATCCAAAAAGATTCTTGTAAAAAACTAATTTGTTTATTTAGTTGAAAACGCTTTAAACGAAATATAGTGGTACATGGATTTTTATATAAAATTTATTAATGTTATATTTACCCAATAGTATCTTTGAATAAAACATCAAGAATTATCGAAGTTTAATCGCTCAAACCAAAGACTGAGTTTGCTTTATATTTCTGGTTTAGTAAACACGAAATTTTACTATAATGTCAAGGCTGATTAAATTGTTTAATTAAAGACAAATTAAACAATTATTCATTACAATTAATTAAATAAATGTGTATATGCATAAGCTACATTTTCATTTTATCAAAATATTTTCCTATTCCATAAAAAATTGTTTTCGAAGTTGGCATTATAGAATAGTGAAATATCGTGTTCCCAATTCGCTGCATTGACAAAATATATAATAGTAGATTACTTAGATTTAAGCCAAATCAATGCAACTTCACAGAGCGATTGGATGATTAAAACTAATTCATATAAATAATTATATAAAAAAATAAAAGGAACTTATAGTTAAACCGTCTGAAGAGAAGTTCCACAAATTTTATGCATTAACTTCTACAATAATGCTGGCAAGCATCAAAGTGCAGTGTATCCACTATATATATATATATATATATATATAATTTTATTCTATGAATACAGTAGAACTTCTATGTCGCTGTGCGACAGGAAGATTTTATTGGAAAGTCTCTCCTACCAAAGCTCTGCTTTGAACAAAGTTTGTCAAGTGTATAGAGGATTCTTCTCAAAAATGTACGGTTGGAGGATGATGTAAAAGAAAAATACTAGATTCTATGTATTTAGAAAATTTATTCCAGACAACTTTCAACTTATTCAACATAAACATTTGTACTCATACTATCTGTTAACACTTCTTTCTATATTTGCACGTATACGAAGTATTCTTAATAAGTTCAAACATACAATGAAATTAAATATTTAGCACAAACAATGCAAGAAACGCAATTGCGTGTGTACATTATATTTTTTAAATTTTCTAATGTTAAGTCAGTTTAATATTCTTTAACCCCTTAAGGAACAATTTTGGCTCAACGTGATACAAAACCGCTCGAGTTAACTCGAGCGTGCAACTTAACGGATTAAAATGTATCAGTCATAATCGTAAGTTTCTAGGCGACTGAAGTAAAGTGACTTTATCGTGGATAGATTGAAATAAATAATTTTATTATTTTTTAATTTACTTCGTATAATAGCATTAAGGTCGAGGTGTTATAAGATAGATGAGTTATATTTCCTACGAAATATGTATAGAGATTGAAACTTAACTATTGTTTAGTATTAATATGCATAAGTATTGTGATTAACACTTGACTCTAGTAGGCAATGTAACTAATTGAATGTATATAAGTCAATTTACGGGTTGCATTTTGACTATTAAATATACTATAATTGTGTAACTCTCAAAAATTGGCAAAACTATAACATACCAGATCTTGTACATATTCATATATATATATATATATGTATACATACATATTTATATATATAAATACATGTATGCATTCGCATAATTATAAACCTGTACATAGAGATACAATAAATTAATATATTTACCTCTATGTATGTAAATATATTAATATATATTATATTTGTTATGTACAGAGATATCTATGATTATACTTATGTATACGTACACATTATACAAATGAACAGACATCAGTCATATAGAAAAATCAGAAAACGAGAGAAAGAATGAATGAAATAGAAAGAGAGAGAGAGAGAGAGAGAGAGTGAGAGTTAATGAGTAAATGAGAGAAATAGAGAGAGAGAGGAAGAGAATGAGAGAAAAAGAGAAAATGGAATATACTAGAATGAATTTATGCTGTAGATTAATTTTTTTGCATATCCACGTCAATAGGTCTTATGCCTGTTTTCTTTGCCTATTCTATTTATACTGCATCATGTACGTTTTCTATGCTGTACAATCTTAGAATGTTACTTCAAAGTGAACGGTCTTTCTTTTTTTTCTTTTTCTTCTTCTTTATATTACAAAACGCTAAGCTTCTCTTCTTACAGGAAGAGTGTGTATATTGTTATGTTTTAATTATACTGATAATGGAAAAAGTGATATATATATATATATATATATATATTGCAAAATAAAAATTGGCAAAGCGAATATTGCTGCAAAATAAATTTAGACTATATCAGGCTTACAATTCTCCTTCTTTTTCTTTATCTTTTTTTAACCAATCCACCTGGGTTCAAAATATAATTATTTTTTTCTTCTTTTTAATTTACTCTTAAACGAAAATAAACGGAGGTAAGTTTACGTAAATTAATAATCATTGTCATGATTGTTTACATTATTAAAAAAAAGTAATAATAAATCTTGTAGAGTAATTTAATTAAATCTATTACCTGTTTATTATAATTGCATGCATTATAACGAATACATTAATTATGACATATCATTTTAGGGGGGAATTAAAAAAATTGTTAACATACTGTTGTGAAATAAATAAAATTATCTAATTGTAAATATTAATTATCTATTATGTAAAAGTTTCTTTTCTTTTTCCATAAATACTAAAATAATATAATGCAAGGAAAAAGAAGTAATAGAATATTTTCTAAACAAAATAATAAACAGATGACAGTTATTTTCTGTTAAATTTTACCAGCTTTTTTCATAGACGAAAATAAGAAAAAAAATGTTATATAAACATGAGTCCTTAAATGCTTTATTAAAAAATGCTAATAAAACTACAATAATTCAAATCGCGGGAAATTTTTAAATGTCCAAGATACATCATTGCTGCCAACCATATTTTTCGTTAAATGTCTAGTCTCAGCGATCCCATTCGTACGATAATTATCGTACGCGTACGATAATTTGAGGCTCTGTACGATCCAAAATTCGTGGCGTACGATTCATTTGGAATTTCGAAAATTTGATGACCCTCTTTTTTTTTTTTTCTTAGTCAACAAATTTTGGAAAGGTGCACCCCCACTACTACTACCACCACCACCACGTACGATCCGTGTAAGATCCGGTGTTCCATCTCCCTGTGGACCGCCGTTTTCATCGTTTTCATGATAGGATTTTGAACTTGGTGACTAAAAAAAAAAAAACAAAAAAAAACAAAAAAAAAAGTCATCAACTTGAAAAACTTGGACACTTTTTCCAACTTTTTGAAAATTTTGTCCGAGATTGTTGGATTTTTGTCGGATTTCAAATTTTCCCGGGGCGTACGATAATTTTGTGCCGCGTACGATAATTTTGCGCCCCTGTTTCCATCAAACGAACTAAAGTCTCTGGGATCACTGGATCCCAGTGGGATCACTGTCTAGTCTATAACTAAATAGTAAATAACTAGTCTAGAGCAAATAGTTTTACATAAGAATTAGAATTATTTGGAAGTTCAATTGCATAGATTTCAAAACTTCCTTGTATTTTTTGGTAAATGTTTTGTTCGATATACAAGATAATAGAAACAATTGTTTATAATAAATAAAAGGAAAAATGTAAATAATAATTTCCTATCATCGATGAAATTGGTACTTCGACTATTGCATTGGCTTAGCAATTTATTTTACCTTTCCAACTAATTAATGATAACATTTCTTCATTTATCTTAAGTTAGTGACGTATTTAAAAGATAAATATGTTACATATTTCCGTTCATAGAAACTATGTTATCTATACGCACACTTACTCTTATCTCAAAAAATTGTTTAAATGTTATTTATAATATGAGTAATGATTTACATCACATCATACGTGAATCATTAAATATCTCGTGTCATTAAAGATGTCATATCAAACAAGTCTTGATCAATTTTTTCCCCAAAAAATTAAACATAATCGTAACGTTAAATCAAAAGATCTCGTCACCTTGAAGGAACTAAAAAGACTAAAAAAGGTAAATATATTTTATTCTAGAATGTAACGCTTTATTTTTAGATATTTTATTTAATATTCAACTTCGAATTCTTTTAGCCATCTACAAAAACTATATCACGAACAAAATCAAGACTAAGTACGGAAAGAAAGCAATCTTCAGAGATGAATAAATCATCATTTAGTATTAATGATTCGATAAACAATGTACAAATGACAAATACAGGTACTCATTTTATGTTAGGTATGAATGAAACTTATTACACGTCAAATAATCTACAAGATACTGAAATAGATTCAATGTCGGATTGCTCTATAATATATGAAAGAATAAATACATCGAATAATACAATATCAATTGACATGGAAAAAGAAATGGTGTATGGAAATCATGCGATAAAAGATTCTGAAAGATCTTGCGTCGATAATCAGTTGCAAGAACATGAGGAAGAAGTATCATTGTGTTGCACCAATATTGATTTTATAGAAGAAGTAAATTTATCAAAAAAAGAAAGTAATGAAAGTACTTCAATAAAAGAAGCATCGGAAAGGATGGATATTGAATATTATGATGTAAATAATGGAAAAAGCGACCTTTTTTCGATCTGTAGTAGTCCTATCAAAAGTTTACCTTCTCCTTCTAAGCAAAGAAATTTAACTTTTACTCCAAAAAAAAGTTCAACTAAAGAAGTTTCATCACCAAATTCTAAAAGTCCAAAGAAGCTAAATCTTTATCTTCGACAAATAGTAAATAAGGAGCTTACTCGTACTGCGATAGAAAATATGAATCTTATAAAAGAAGGCGCTATTATAGGAAATAATTTTAATCTTCAAAAAATATATGCTAGCAGTACATTTACATTTAGATATAATAGCATTGATACAAGAGTATCTGAAAAATACGAATACAATGATGTGACCATACCAACTGAAACTTATGCAGCACATTTATTCATGATAGTAGTGAATGTTTTTTCAAATCCTATAAATTGTGGTTACTTTGATAAGGAAGAGACAGATTTTATTTTTTCTATGCTTACCCTTTCCATAGAAGCACAAATATTATTTGCGCGTATTTTAAAAAGAAAATATTCTTGGCACAGAGTGGAACATTTAAAATATCAAGATTTAATCAAAGATTTTATATCCACTTGTAAAGAGCTCGTGCTAAAGTCATTTTTTATATCCGATATAAAAAACGAAGATTTATCTGTTTCCTTAATGATGCTTCAAGCTGATGAAATTGGTGCAATTTGTAAGGATTTTAAATTAAAAAATGTTAATAATAAGAAAAAATCAATAGAGAAATTATTGGAAATAGCAACCAAGAAACCTCTCTTTCCTGGCATGAAAACTTCAGGTGAAAAATTAAAGTTTTTAGTGTCAAATAAGTTGGGATATTGTATACGTTTGTGTCAAAAGACAATATATATTTTTGATAAGATATTAACATTATTCAAACCTGATCAAAAACCTGAAGAAACTTTATCGGATACATTTAATATGTTATTGAACATCGAACTTGGGAAAATATGTTATCCTACATATTCGGATAAAAGATATCCTATTTTTAGCGATAATAACCATTTAATTCAGTAAGTGCCATATAATTAGTTTATTCTTCATATAAATTTAAACATTTGTATATAAATTATATATATTTTTGTACAGATATATCGAAGCAAAACACGAATTGTCTAATATAATAAATGCCATTGAAAAAAAAGAATGGGAAAGTGTAAGAAAAATTGGAAAGTTAGCTTACGATCGATGGCTAATTATTATGAAAAGTGAATGCGCAAGGTAATTATAGATATTTAAGAAAATGCTTTATTTATATTAATAAAGTAGCACCGAAGTTTATGCGTATAATATACAGGATATAATAGAATTCTGTTTCATTTTACAGCTTAGAAGACTGCGAGCTCCCTTCGCATTTATTTCAATTTAGACCAAGTTATTTGTGGCTAAAAATATTATCTAAAAGTATAAATTCATTTAAGAAAAACAAAGACACGTTACCATTTGCTACGGAAATATTGAATACATTAATAAGTCAAAATAGTTATATGCAAAGAAAAAAAGAAAGCTGGTATGCTGAATTAGCGTTAATTGAAATGTATCATAATAAAGATTTAGAAGCAAGTGCAAAAATAACATTAGAGTCATTGAAAATTGAGACTATTTCTGAAGTTGGTATCGCAGGACTTATAGAAAGAGCAGAAATACTTGTTAAAAGAAAAACTGGCATTAGTAAAACTACATTGATGGATATTAAAACCACATTACAATCCATAAAAAGCAAATTTCCAAGTCCAATGTTATGTACAACGACAGTTGAAGCTGCTTTAATGAAAGAGTAAGATATAGTTAATTTAAATAAATACATAGAACATGAATATATTAAAAATAGACTCATAATTGTATATTTATTTCTAGACTACCTGGAATGAATAAGAGGAAAAGCAAGTGGTGCATCAATAATAATACAGATAATAAATTGTATAGTTCGGTAGAAGATGTTGCATTAAATTTTTATTATAATCAAGGTTTTAATGATGGAGTGCATTGTGAAGGTGCTCTACCAGTCACTCTATTTTATGCATTATTTTGGGAAGAACTTTTTAATATTGACATACCTGGAACTTTTATGTCACTGTACCAAATAGCTCCCCTAGATTTATTTACTAAAGATTTTTACAAAAATAGAAAAGAAAGAATCGATATGAAATTCAACTTGTTACGTAGTTTTGATCGAGAATCTTTTAGTGGATTAGTAGAACACAACTTTCTACTGTACAGTCGTTTTGAATCTATGATGCATGTTAATATGTTCACGAATAATATTAAAGTAAGTAATAAATCATTATATATCATAGTTAATAAATTTCATTATCAAAGTAGATTAAAATGAATTAATAGTACTTTGTTATTACAGGAAATAGTATATTGCTTAGGGCCTGAATGTGTTTTAAAAATTTGTGAACGACTTATTTCTAATTATATTTTATGGAAAGCTGGCTTTCCTGATTTAATCGTGTGGAATTTAAATGATAAAAGTGTAAGTTGCACGGATCTAAATTTTTATTTTAACGCTTATTGGACCTTTGTCACTTAATTGGTAACAAAAGCAGCGTAAAAGGATAAAGTAACGATCTAACAACAAGTTAGATGCGATATACTTTTCCGTCCATCAAGTAAATATTTCATTAAATAATTTTAATTTTTTTTGTAGTGCAAAATTATTGAGGTGAAAGGACCTAATGATAAACTTTCAGTGAAACAAACATTGTGGTTACAATATTTACAACAAATAGGAGTAGACATAGAAGTTTGTTATGTAAAAGGTAAATTTAAACAAAAATTAATTTAATCTGTTTATTATTTTTTTTTGTTAAGTTAATATAAAATAAGCATATAATTTATGGCTTCAATAATTTCATAACGCTGCTTACGTAAAGATTGTTAAAACACTACGTTTAAAACAATAGAATTATTTTTTAATCATTTCTATTTTACATTAAAATAATTTGCATTTTTTACTATACAGATAATGGACATGGTAAAATTAGAACGTAATAGAAACGCTCATAATTATAAGAAGAAATGTGATAAACACGTTGACTGCTGCGCGCGTTTACAGTGAAATCCCCTTCAGGCCACGCGTACCGCTGTACGAAGCGTATTCTGCTGGGTATTTCCATCGATATTTTAAATATTAGAAGAAAATATAAGAAGATTTAGGGAATTATTATCTGCAAAATTATTAGGGTTGACTGAAAATACAACAAATCCTTGTCTTCGTCGGAGTCAGCATAATATCGCCGTTCGGAAAAATGATTCCGGAGGAAGCATTAGACGCCTATGCAAACAATGTTATGCAGATAAAAGTGGTCGAATGGGCCGATCAAAGACACGAGAGAATTTAAAGAAAACAACAGCTTATTGTCCAAGTTGTCCCGACCAACTCCAGCTTTGTATAAAATGTTTTAAAGTTTTACATCCCACATAATTTTCTTAATGAATCATTTTCGTATTATTTTTATAACAACAGTTTATATTAATGAATATTCTATTATTAATTTAAGTTTATATTAATTATTATATTACTCTTGATATTCTGCATTCGTTTCATTTTCTCGAAACTTAGTTTTTTGAAGGTTTCACTTTTAACATGTGTGATCTGCACACATGATTTTTTTTTATTGAGAATATAATAGCAAGTATGGTGTATTTATTTTTAAAATGAAATATAATATACATCAAGACGGGATATTTAAAACTTTTGATCGGAGATAGATTAATATTGAATTCTATGAATTTCCTGAAACTTAATTTATTACATATTATATTATTATACATACAATTATTAAGTAAGCTTATTTTGGATTTTTCCGCCATATTACCTGTTGGTATTTTAAAACATTCTCTGTCAAGAAAATTAAACGAATTTTGTTGTGAATGCCAAAAGTTAGGTTAAAGAAAAGAGTAAAATTTTTTTAAATTTAATATTAATTAAAATTCTAGATGTAGTTTATCACTGTTTTATACTATTTTAAAGTCATTTGTTTTGATCAAACTCTTATTGTTTTTAGAGCAAGAATAACATTGTATACATACACGTTCATAATAATCGTATTGCCTTCATCTAATACACTTCTGTTCTTTAGTATTCTGATAATTAATTAATATATATATATATATATATATATATATATATATATATATATATATATATATATATATTCTTGATACCAAGTTTGTATTTTTATCATAAGTAATTAAGTGTGTAATATTTTTATTTATATGTATCATAATTATATAAAAATTACATTAAATTACATTTTTAACTTTTGACCACTATTTGAAAATTTCCTACCAGAGTGCGGAAGCAGTGAACCATTTGCACGAATCAGTGAATGAAGCACGGAGTAGATTGAAGCGTGTTGCACGCGGCTAGGCAAGAGTATCCGAAATAAACATTTTAGAACTTGTCACATTTATGAAACTTCTTTCACTTTATTACAAGATCTTAAAGAACATTTTAAGCCACAAAAATTGTTGATTTTTTGAAAATTCTACAGTGATATAAGTCCTTCATTTAAATACAATGTTTGCAAAATATAACCTCTCACATTTGAGAATTGCTTGTTTCTAAATGTTGAATTATAAATGAAATAAATCATAAACATTTACAAATAACTTTTAAATTCATACATTTCTTATATTTCGATTAATTATAAGAAGCATTAACATGAATATAAGGAAACATTTATTTAAATATTTCATTGACAATTTCTTTAGACGCAAGTCGTACGTACGTATTTTAAAAATTTTTTTCTTGAAATATATAAACTAAATGAGTCTCGGTCAAATTAATAATTATTTATCAAAGGGAGAAGAATTCAAGCCAAGAGTTGTAAATAATTCATTTGGTAAATATGAAGTTGTAGAGCCTCTTCTTGTTTCCCAAAGAAGATACGTACCATCGCATATTCCTAAGCCATCTTATTATTTAACTGGAATTCCACATCCAGGACCAATAAAACCAGAAATTAAAAATAAAAATCAAATAGAATGTATGAAAGAAAGTTGTAAACTAGCGCAATATGTTCTCAGTCAAGCGAAAAATTATATCAAGGCAAGAATATAAAATGATAACTTTAATACAGGGTGACCTATAATTGGTACCATGCACTTGACTGCACTTGCAACTTTTGAATCAAAAAGCCTTGTTCAACAAGCATAAGATTATAACCAATACAAGAAATATTGTAAGAAGAATTATAGCCAATACAAGAAATATCATCATGTTGATAATGTTTACAAATATAATAAGAAGTACGAAAATGCTCTCCAAAATATTAGGAAGTAAGATAGTGAAATCTATCGAGTTAAAACTGGATCAAGTGCATATGTACTTTACAAGTTTTAAAATTTATTTTTCTTGTAGAATCATTCCCTATTCCCTTATACTACCAGTTGCAGGAGACCCTGTAAATCCTATGTCAATTTATTTAATAATACATCTTTATCAATATTAAGTACTAATCTTCTAATTCTTAGCCTGGTGTTACTACAGATCAATTAGATGAAGTAATTCATGATATGATTATAAATAACGGAGCTTACCCTAGCCCACTTAACTATAAAGGATTTCCAAAATCTATATGCACTAGTATTAATAACGTTGTGTGTCATGGTATTCCAGATAATCGTCCGTTAAAATATGGAGACATAATTAATGTAGATGTGACTGTACATATCATACATTTTTCAATTTGATCATTACATTATGCTACTCATTATTTTAAATTATTAAATGCTATAAATAAATGTAGGTTTATCTAAATGGCTATCACGGAGATTGTTCTAAAACATTTGAAGTAGGTGAAAGCGATCCAGAGGGTAAAAGATTGATACAAATAGCTGAACTTTGTCTGCAGAATGGAATACAAATTTGTAAACCGAATGAAAAATTTTCTCGTATAGGTAAGTGGTAAAATTATTTTTATAATTATATATTAAAATATTATAATGAAATATTTTAGGTCATGTTGTGGAAGAAATAGCAAATAAGCACGGATATAATGTAATTCCTGCGTTTGTTGGACATGGCATAGGAACTTATTTTCATGGACCACCGGATATCTTACATTACGGTATATTCGTATAAATAAATGAATGCTTGTGTACATAGAAATTGGATTGACATATTTTTTTATTATATTTAGCAAACGAGTCTGCCGAAAGAATGCATCCAGGTATGACATTTACTATAGAACCAATTCTTACTCAAGGTGGAGAAGAGATTGAAATTTTAGAGGATGGTTGGACAGCTGTAACAACAGATGATGCTAGAACCGCACAATCGGAACATACCATTTTGATAACTAGCAGTGGTTATGAAATAATGACAAAGTAGTCGCTATTGATATTTATAAAATTGATAGAAAGTTAAACTTTATATACTTCTGAACAAACTGTGCAGTAGAATCAATTTTCTTTAATGAGATAATTAAATTATATTTAATAAAATTAATTGTAAATATTTTAAATGAAAGAGTACATTTATTTAGTTAGAATAGCAGCTTCCCAGTTACTGTCTAATGTTATTGGACCTTGAATTTCTATACCTTCATCTTTAGTAATTATACCAAGGTGATACTAGAAAACAAAAGATACAATATATTTCAATAAATTAATTTGTTAATATTTTGTTAATTTGTTATATAAATTACCTTAGGAAAGGAACGAGCATCTCTGTAAAAAAGAACTTGCATCGCTTTGTAAAGTAGTTCTTTCGCTTCTTCCTTAGTCATTTCACTATTTTCTTCATATGCTTTTCGCAACAATGGCGTTGCTATATAGGCACCATAACCAGTTGCAATCACTGAATCAATGTAAGCTGTTCCAAGTTTATCTACTGTACCTAAGAATCTGATAAAATATAAACAAACGAATACATTTTTTATTTATTCATATTATATATAGGTTTATAAATGAATAAGAAATATTTACGGTTTGCCATCATCTAAGCCTGCGATTACAAAATTATTCCAAAATGGATCAAAGCTTGATCGTCTGTTATACATTACACGAGTTAACCAACAGTAAAGTGCTTTTGGTTTTAGAGTAAATCCATCATCTAAGCATTGTTCTTCTAGACTAAAAATAAAATATTAACAAACAATTATATTTTATTTATAATAAATATTCTTAGCAATTGCATAACTTACATTTTCTTTTCTATATTACTTTTAATGCACTGATAATCGGCATAATCACCGCTGGCACCAAGAAGAATATTATTGTTGACTTTCATGATACGTTCACAATTTCTATATCTCGCTAATGAACCATATGATGCCAGGGTATCGGCAGCAATCATAACTCCATCTTTAAATTGTACAGCAACAATTGATGTACCAGTTGTCATGGGTGCTCTGCAAAAATACATAAGTTCAAGTATAAATTGTTATACTCTTAGGTTAAGATTCACTTTTGATTTAAAGACCATGCTATATTACAATTGATATTTCTTAATAATAGTATTAAGACGAATAAGTTGAATAATAATATTGCATTTTAAATATATAAAGCAAATACATTCTCTAAATAATAATCTAATGTGATTTGTAGGTTATATCCTGTATAGTCAACATTTTTATAACGAAATTAAACTTACTGTGATCTTTGACGTATTCCCTGATCGACCGATTGAACGACGTTTCCAGGAAAATTATAAAAACAGCCCGGTGAAGGACCATTTTGCCAAAATGGTGCAGGAGCAGCCAAAGCGTTATTACTAAAAAGTGCCATGTTTAATACAAGTCACGATACTTTGAATTGTCATGTTCTACAATTGACAAGCGCCATCTAAGACGCGATTTTTAAATTTATACATATGTATATTTATCTATTATCGATACGGAAGATCACAATGCTACTACTGTGTGTAAGTAGATTTCTTGTTTGATTTTACGCTTATCATACATAAAATATATATTATAAAAAAAGACACACAAAAGTATAAATATAATAGTTACTAAAAAAAAAAAAATCTATTAATTACTATGAAATACTTTTACACTGCATTATATATAGAAAAGAAAAATTACAAATTTAATAAAATATGATCACAGTAAAAAATCTTAAAATACAAAGCAAGCACTATCAAAGAAATTGTTGCTTAATGCCGAAGAGGCCCCCATTTAATTATGGCTCAAGAGGGCAACTACAGACTATTGAGTTATTTTCAAAGATTCAACAGCATGTGCGAATCTTTAGAGAATGACTTGCTAGTTAGATTTTATATTTTATTGTATTACTTTTCTGCTCGTCATTAATTTGTAGTTGTAATTGAAAATGATGGATCATTCCATCTCCTTGGGACACCAAATTCGAGTCTAAATCGTCAAAAAGATGCATAAGTTTTTAGTTAGAATCAAAAACATTAAAATTCCCTTATTATTAAAGTTTGAAGCTTAATTAATGTTCAGTGAATATTAAAGTAATTTCTCTTTTCTTGTTTCGTCTTTAAGATTTTTTATTGTGATCGTATTTTATTAAAGGGTATAGTCGGATAAGTATGGGAAATCTGCCCCCGTGGCTTTTTTGACTCGCACTTGGGGGATCGATTTGGTGTCGAATAAAAATAATTCACCCCAAATTTTAGCTCTTTTACTCAAATGGTTCTCGAGATTTTCATAAAAACCTGTTTTTTCGATTTTTTTTTTATAGTAAAATTAATTTTACTATTTTATTAATTATTAAAATACTTTAGCCTTGGAGATAGAAATTAATCGTTGGGCCAGAAGAAAAGTTCCCTTTGCAATAATAACTTCAGAGCAATTAACTGACTTTCCAGAATTATCAGAGCAAGAACTCAAAATTCTTTTCACTGGATCATATCAAATGTCTCAAGCTATATCGTATTTAGCTGAGATGATGGATGAAAACGGAATAATCACATTCCATTATTTAAAAATTACACCTAATA